CCCTGAAGTCTACTTCTGGAAATCAGTCATTGAAAGCCCCACATACCAAGTGTGGTTCTGACACCAAGGGGTTGCCGTGCACAGGCATTAGCTCCATAACAACTTGTCAGAGGAACTCATGCCCTGACTGTGCTCTTATTGAGCACATACAACAAATTGCTTGTCTATCAAAAAAAATATATGATGTGGCAGTTATATAATCTCCTGTCAACTTGAGCAAAAGGGTGGAGTCTAGCCTCTCAATCGTTTAACAGTTTGATGACCTCATTTGGAGGCACAAAGGAGATTTAAATAGCTCACTGGAGGCCAGACCCATTCTCCCTGTGAGACATTCCTGTTGACAAGCCACATTGAGTTACACTGATGGAGCCAGAGGGGAGCCATGTAGAGACCCATGCCAGTGCTGACATCTTCCACCATTACTGGATCCATAAGACTTTCCACCCACTGGTTTGTGATCTTCCTGCATTTGATATCATTGCATGTGTCGCATGAGTCTAATGAGGAATTTATAGATTAGTATCAGACATTTGGGCTAATATTGGACTCAGAATTGGGCTGGGATATTTTCTTAATATACAATTACTGTTTGATATAAAGTTATTTCCTATACATATGTGAGTCTCCCTGGATTTGATTTTCTAGTCTACCCAGACTAACAAAATGAGGAGGCTTCAAAACATTCTTGAGAAAATTACGTTATCTTTTCATTCCTTTTTTTCCATCAACTTTTTGAGCCCCTCCCCCCATATTTATACACTGCTAGTCCAACTGTAGAATATTCTGCTTACGGGGTGGACAATGGCTCCTTTATAGCATTTATCATAGCACACTTTAGGCGTGGCATGCCTTCATGCCTTATGGATTAAAAGAAAATGCTATGACTCTGAGACCAAGTGGAAGACAATGTCGCTGAGAGCTCACAGAAGCAGTAGGACTGCATGACCAAATTGCCATAAGGAAAGAGAGTAACCTATTTTGTCTATGTGTTGGTGTGCAGTAAAATGTTTGTGCTCTCTCTGTTACTTACAGTCATATTTCTAAGTAAACACTTGAAAAAACAGACACACACACACAGAAGGAAATGAGAAACAAACCATAAGATGCTGATCTGACCCATTGCAAAATGCCAGTCACTGAAAACAGCATATGCAATGCCTTCACATTTACTCATTTATATCCCTGTTATAATGCCATAAAGCAGATAATTCATAATGTCTTTAATCTGAGGCACAGAGACTCATTTAAGGTAGACACAAGATCACAAATATAGGTCATCGTATACCTTTCATTAAGCCACCTTACTTCTTCTATATAATGTATAAATGAAGTAAACCTCTAATGTACCTTCCTGCATCACCTGGTTGTAATTCTAATTATTCTCTGGGAACTCCAGTACAGATTCACATTAATTAAAATTCAATTATTTCTATCTTGAGCTAAACTGAATTAATACCACCAAATAATTCCTTGGAAGGTAATAGCAAGACTATCTGACTTCAAGGCTCCAAACTGCATTTGGCATGGCCATGCATTCAAACACACACACACACACACACACACACACACACACACACCTTCTCTCCACCCCTTTAACAGATTATTGTGACTTGATTGGGTGAAGTTTTACACAGCAGGTGAAATTTCTATTCAACAATTCATACACATTTTGTTTTAACTCATTGATCGCATTGATCGCATATTTCAATTCCACTCCATGCATACATTTCCATATCTCCTCCTTTCCTAACACTTCAGAATTTTTTCCTTGGGCAACTGTTGCCCTTTTGATCTTAAATGGTTTATTATTCCAAGTTGTGCATAACTTAATAAGTTATTGTTCTCAATATAGACCTATCTATTCTTTGGCTCCACTACATATCTATCATTTTGTCACACTGTAACAGCTTGTGTGTTGCTACGATGCTGGAAGCTATGGTACTGGTGTTTCAAATGCCAGCAGGGTCACCCAAAGGGAACAGGTTTCAGTGGGGCTTCCAGAATAAGACCAGACAATGAATAAGGACTCTGCTCCCCACTTCAGAGGAAGAAGTCACCAAAAACCTTATGAATGGTTTTGAAGCATTTTCAAATATTTATAACCTAAACAAAGGAAGCAGAACATTGCTGGATATACTGTCGGCAGATGGGCCCCTGTGGGCTGAGGGTAAAAGTGTGACTGAAGAGTAGATGATTTCTTGGAGGGTTGTCAATGACAGTGAAGTAAATACTCAAGGTCTAGAGAAACAGCTGCAAAAATCTTCTAATGATTCAAACTTGGAATGTGCAAAGTATGAATTTAGGAAAATTGGATATAGTAAAAAATGAAATGGAACTCATGAAGATCAGTATCCTAGGCATCAGTGTGCTGAAGTGGACTGACATTGACCACTTTGAACCAGAAAAGCATATGGTTTACTATAATGGGAGCGATATAATCAAGAGGAATGATGTGGCATTCATTGTTAGAAAAGAATTTGTTAAATCCATCATGAAGTACAATACTATCTGTGATCAGATGTTATGTACCAGCCTTCAAGGAAATCCAATCAGCACAACTACTATTCAAATTTATGCACAAAACACGAAAGCTGGTGATGAAGAATTCTACCAAAAACTTCCGTTGGAAATCGATCAAACATGCGATCAAGATGCATTGATAGCTAATGGTGATCAGAATGCAAAAGTTGGAAACAAAGAGGCAGGAACAGTATTGGAAAATATGGACTTGGTGATAGAAATGAAGCGGGAGATTGCACGATAGAATTTTGCAAAACCAACAACTTGTTCATAGCAAACACTTATACACATGTTGACTATACATAGGGATTTTTCCACATGGAATACACAGAAATCAAATTGACTACATCTGTGGAAAGACATGATGGAGAAGCTCAATATTAACAGTTAAAACAAGACCGGAGCTCAACTGTGGAACATGTAAGTTCAAGATGAAGCTAAAGAAAATTAAAACAAGTCAACAGGAGCCAAAATATGACCCGAAGACTATCCCATCTGCATTTCAAGAACATCTCAAGAACAGATTTGATGCTTTGAACATTAATGACCGAAGACCTGATGAGGTGTGGGAGGACATCAGAACTGTCACTCATGAAGAAAGCAGAAAGGTTCTTAAAAAGACAAGAAAGAGGAGATCAAAGTGGGTGTCTGAAGAGACTCCAAAACTTGCTCTTAACAAGTAGCTAAAACAAGTGGAAGAGAGGATGCAGGCAAAAAGCTGAATAGAAAACTTCAAAGGGCAGCTCGAGAAAACAAAGCCAAAAATTATAATGAAATAGCCAAGGACTTGGAATTAAAGAACAAAAAGAAAGAACATGCTCAGCATATATAAAACTGAAAGAACTCAAGAAAAAATTTACACCTCAAATGGCAATTTTGAAAGATTCTGTAGGCAACAGATTGAATGATATAGGAAGCATAAAGAGAAGATGCAAAGAACACAGAGTCACTGTACCTAAAAGAACTAGCCGACATTCCACTATTTCAGGAGGTAGCATATGAGCAAGACCTAACGGTGCTGAAGGGAGAAGTTCAAACTGCGCTGAAGGTATTAGCCAAAAACAAGACTCCAGGAACTGATTGAATTCCCATTGTAATGTTTCAGAAAGCTGAAGAAGCACTGGAAGCACTCACTCATCTCTGGCAGGACATTTGGAAGACCACTACCTGGTCAACTGACTGGAAGAGATCTATATTTTGTGCTCATTCCACAGAAAGGTGATCCAACAGAATGCCCAAACTATAGAAAGATACTGATATCACACACTAGTAAAATTCTGCTGAAGAGCATTTGACAAGTTGCAGCATTATATTGACAGGGAACTGCCAGATGTTCAAGCTGCATTCAAAAGAGGATGAGGAACAAGGGATATCACTGCTGATGTCAGTTGGATCTTGGCTCAAAGCAGAGAATACCAGAAAGGTGCTTACTTGTGTTTCATTGACTATTCAAAAATACTAGACAGTGTGAACCATAATGAACTGTGGATCACCTTGAGAAGAATGGCAATTCTAGAACACTTCATTGTGCTCATTTGGAACTTGTACATGGAGCAAGAGGCAGTTGTGCTAACAGAACACAGGCAAACTGCATGGTTGAAAATCAGGAAAGGTGTGTGTCCTCTCACCATCCTTGTCCATTTCCATGCTGAACAAATCATCAGAGAAGCTGGATTATATGAAGAAGACTGTGGCATCAGGATTGGAGGAAGGCTGATTAACAACCTGCAGTAACCAGATGACACAATTCTGCTTGCTGAAAGTGAAGAGGAATTGAAGCACTTGCTGATGACGGTCAAGGATTGTAATCTTCAGTATGGAAGACCAAAGTCCTCACAACTGGACTAATAGGTAACACGATAAAAGGAGAAAAAGGAGAAAATCTGAAGCTGGATGTTCTCAAGAATTTTGTCTTGTTGGGATCCACAATCAGTGCTCATGGAAGCAGCAGGCAAGAGATCAAAAGATGCATTGCATTAAGCATATCTGCTGCAGTAGACCTCTTTAGAGTATTGAAGAGCAAGAACATTACTTTGAGGACTCAGGTGTGCCTGACCCAAACCATGGTCTTCTTCATCGCATCATATGCATGTGAATGTTGGACATTAAATAAGGAAGTCTGTAGAAGAACAGATGGGGTTGCTATGGATTGGAGCTGACTCAATAGCCCATAACAACAACAACATTCTTTGGCAAGAAATTGAACTATTGGGGTAAGAGTTCATCTTCACCCTGCAGGGTGATTAAGGTCCATAGTCTTGGGAGTTGCATCAATTTCTAACAGCTTCTGCTTTTTTTTTTTTTCTTGTTTTGTTCCACATTTTCCTCCCTCTCTATTTAGGACTTTCTAACATGGTCCCTTTCAGAGAAGTTGGTAGTGGGAGTAGGGTACCATCTAGAGCCTTAGAGATTGATGTCCATATGGTATATAAATCCACTGGACTACTTGGTTCCATGTATCCTTGATTTTTTCCCTCACTTTTCTTTGTTCTGGACATGGAGAGGCCAATGGTTGTTCCTTTGATGGCAGTTTGGTCATTTACTAGCTTTAAAGACCCTAATCACTGCTCGCTGAATTAGGATATGGACTCTCTTGTCAATTGAACTTGGTTCCCCTTGAGACCATGGTACTGAGCCTCCAGCTCCAGTAACTAATTCCTTCAAGTTGTTTGGTTATACCTAAGAAGTTCTCATAACTTTGCCCCCTGTATACTCCACTACATTTAAGAATACATTTACAGCAAAAGTACATATACAAATGTACAAATTTCCCCTGTCAAACTTTTGTGTGTATGTGTGTGTGTGTGTGTGTGTGTGTATATGTGGTTTCCTACTCTCGCTCCTACACACCTGTGCTTCTATCAAAGCATCTATTCATAGATCATCATTATTGCATAGCTATGGATATGACAGTGTTTGGCTCTGTTGCCTTTAACTCAAACTCCTCTCTGAGTCTTTCTCTGACTCTACCCTTTTTTGGCTGAACTTTTTCTTATTGTCTGCTGCCGTCCATTTCACCAAACTAACATATGTCTGTCTTCTAGAGAGACATAAGTTGCTCTCCACCCCCTGATAAGAATGTTTTAGTGTGACTTTTTACATTAGTGCTCTTATATATTTGTCTTTTTGTGATTGATGTATTTCACTCATCTAGTAATGTCCTCCAGTTTCATCCACATTATGCAGTGTTTTACAGCGGTATTGTTATTCTTCAAAGCTGTCTAGCCATCCTTGCCTCTAAGAAGCATTCTGGCTCTACTTCCTCAAGACAAATTTGTTTCTTGTGGCAGACCATGGTACTTTCAATATTCTTTACCAGTCCCATAATTAAAACACACCAAATCTTCTTTGGTTTTCCTTATTCAATGTCTAACTTTCATAGGCATATGAGGCAATTGAATACCATGGCTTGGGACATTTGCACCTTATTCTTTAAAGTTAGCATCCTGCTTTTCAACACTTGAAAGGGGTCTCATGCAGCACATTTACTGTTACACTGGAATCACTTTATACTGTTCATTACAATTATTCAATTCTAATATGGAACATGATATTGGAAACCTTCCTCAATCAATCAGTCCTTTGCTTTACAGTTGGGAAAACTGAGGCCCAAAGCTAATTATGGTGAAAGTTTCACAGCTAGTTACTGACAAATGTAGCATTAAAATATAACCATTGCTGGATATCAAGTTCAAAGTATTTTTTGTATGACAATATATTATACTGCACTTGAAATTTTCATGTTTGTCATACACAGATTCCCATACCCCAAAGTAGTTGGACAGTCTTTGAGGTCAGAAACAGGGTTTTGTAACCCTAATTTTGTTTTTCTAGTAAATTTGCCTTTGGAAAATAGGTTTCTATTTGTCATAGGTGATCAATAATGGTTTTTGATGATGGCTAAGATATTCACACTTGTAAAATTTCAAAGAAGTATTTAGGAACGATGAAAAATACAACTTTCCTCTAGTTCCTAAATGCTTCCCCTCCCCCTCCCCC